TGCCTCAAATTCACAGTAGTAATTTTTTTCCTCCATGACAGTTTTGTCTTTACCTTTTTTTTTTTAATTTTAGGTAAAGGAGATTGGAGGTTATGATCTTGTGAGCCTCAAAAGGTCAAGAGACTGAGTCACCAGGTCCAGGAGTGAAACCTATGCTGGGATTTGCAGCCAGTTTTTTTTTTTCTCTTGGTGAGGCAATTGGGGTTGTGACTTGCCCAAGGTCACACAGCTAGTAAGTGTCAAGTGTCTGAGGCTGGATTTGAACTCGGGTCCTCTTGACTCTATCAAAGGTCAGAGCTTTATCCACTGCACAACCTAGCTGCCCCTGCAGCCCGCTTTGAGGACTAGAGAAGCAACCCTTCAAGACCTAGCTCAGCAGTATTTGAGAGAAGAGGTTGACAAACCCTCCATTAACATTCACCTAGTAGCAATGCCACATTTAGACCTGAACTTGTTGGGATCGATGTTATGTAGAAATTGCATTCAGTTTGAGCCCACTCACCCCAGAGACCAAGGTGAATATTGAGAAGATTTGTGAGGGAGTGAGTCAGGGCCCAGAGGAGTATCATAAAAGGGCTTAACAATAAAACTACTATTAGGTATCCAGAGTCCACAAAATCTAGCCATGCCTAGAAAAGTTCAAAACTGTTTCTTAGTGTCTGGGACAGGGAGTTCGTGGCCCGGAAGCTTTACAGACTGGCTTGCTATCTGGACTTTGTTCAAAGAGACCCTATAGCCTTGAGTTCCCAAGAAATTAAGCACTCCTGAGGCAGTGGACAAAGAAGCCTCCTGGGTGGGGCTACAAATACAGCGATGGGAAAATACTTTAGGGTCTCGGAGGTAAACAACAGCTGAGGTGGCAAGAGTAGCCACCTCATGCCCATTCTCATGCCCGCTTGTCCCTATGTTCCGGGTTCCTTGGGAGTCTGGCCTATGTGATTTATCTCTAATAAACTTTTTCTCTGGCTGGAAGAAGATTTGAGTTGAATTCTTTCAGGCAGGGCCTGGTGCCACGATCTTAGGGTCCGTTAGAGCACCCCAAAACCTCTAGACCTCTTCAATTTGTACGTATGTTCTTGCTATATATCTTTGAGGTAATTGATCAAATGGAACTAGGGTGGTAGTAACTGATAGCTAATAGTGGGGGACCAAATCAGGGTATGAGCTCCAGCCAATAGCATTGGAGAAGAGCCATCCCGATCCCTTAGGAATACCCCTAGAACTCTGAGGGAAGAGATGTAACCCGCTAGCTCTGGAATAGTGAAGCCAGAGAGCACAATACACTGGCACTAAGTCTAAATTTGACGCTTTGCAGTTTCTATCCGTAGTTCCTCATTTTGCTCTCTATGGCAAAACAGAGCAAATCTAATCCTTTCACCAAACACTCCTTCAAAGACCCAAAGGTGACTCTCATGTCCCCGAGTCTTCTCTTGAGTAAATAAGCCCAGTTTCCTCAGCCAATTCTCAGATATCACAGCTGAACACAATACTCCAGGATTAGGTCCGACAAAAGCAAAGAACAGTGTTCTCCAGCTTCCCTATTCCTAGAAGCTATGCCTCCCCTTAATGCAGCCCAAGACTGCATTTGCTTTTTTAGCTACCACAACACATGGCTGACTTATACTGATTTTACAATCCACTAAAACCCTCAGATCTTTTTCTGAACAACTCTGTGCCTCTGTGCCCTGTCTTCTACTTGTGAAATTGCTTTTATCTTTATTTTACTTTATTGTATCCAAGTGTAAATCTATCTCTAACTTCATCTTCTTCGATTCAGATCAATGCTTATCCAGATTCTTTTGGAATCTGATTCTGTCATCCACTGATGTTAGCTATCCCTCCCAGCTTTACGTTATCTGCAAATCTGGTAAACCTACCATCTGTGCCTTCATCTAAGCTATTGATAAACATGTTAAAACAGCACAGGGCCAAGCACAGGTTCCTATGATCCCCCACTAGAAGGTTCTTGCCATGCTGGCATTGAACAATTAAATACTTGGAATCTAGCTAGCCAACCAACTCCGAATCCATCTGAATGTCTTACTAGGTAATCCATATTCCTCCATCTTCTTCTGACGACAAGTATGATATACTTGTTCAAAAGCTTTGCTGAAACCTAGGTAAAGTATAGCCACAGCATCTTTCTCATCTACTACTTTAGTAACCCTTTCCAAAAAGGAAATGAGGTCATCTAGCATGATATGTTTTTGATGAAGCCAAGCTGATTCTTTGTAAATGTTTCCCTTTTTAGATGCTTGCTATCCATATATTTAATGATTCATTCTAGAATTTTCCCAGGAATCTAAGTGAATTTTATTGGCCTACAGTCTGCAGATTCTGTTTTCTTCCCTTTTGAATTTGTTAGGACCTTTGTCCTTCACCAGTTTTGGGGTATCTCTCCCATTTTCCACGATCTTTCAGATATCAATGAAAGTGGTTCCACAATGGCATCTGCCAGTCTTTCTCAGCCCAGGGATGTAGTTCATCAGTGCCAATTGACTTGAATTCACCAAGAACAATGAGGTGCTATGTTTCATTATCTCCTTACCTTGGGTATCAACTCCCTGGTAGTCACTTTTTGTTTGATCATTTCCAGTATAAAGGTCATTCTCCTTTGCAGAGAAAACAGAATAAGAATTGAGCAGCTCTTTCTCTTTGTCATCAGTTAGCATCATTCCCTCTACCCCCAACAAGGGTCTTATGCTTTCTCTTTGATTCTACTTCCCCCCACCAATATAATGGGGCTCAGTTGAAGGAGATGCACTAGATGACCTCTCAGGTGCCTTCTGGTTCTAACTATCCAATCTTACGTGGTACAGGCCGCCTGTGCACTTGGCAGGCATCCCAAGTGACAACTGAGGTGTAGCCATAGAGTAAGAATTGTCCATACTTGGCTCACTTTCTTCTTTCTGCATGCCCCGAAGCAGGTTTTCACTTCATTGATTAAGTAACCAGATGGCAATACATGCAGTCCCACAGTTGAGTGTTTTCATCAGCACATTATCTAGTGTGCATGTAGAGGCTTTGCCAAGGCTATAGTATCTTTGTGCCTTATCACAGGACACTGACTTACAAGCTCTTAGACTACTCTGAATAGACATATGGTCCATACAGGGCTGACCCTGATTCAATTTTTGTCTAGAGATATGGAAAAAGAAAATGGGACATTGTTCTGAAATATTGAATATAGCAGGGAGTTGATCGAGGAGGTCCTTGATCAGGTAAGTCCCCCAGTCCACTGGTTGAAATAACCGTTTCAGACTTTCACATTTTCAGTTTGCATGGGCATGGGGCAGAAAAGCCTTTTCAGATGTTTGAGTGGCCCCATTTGGAAGACATAAGAACCTTCCTCCTCTTACCCTCTCCTCCTTCCCCTCCGAAATAAAATTATAGAAATCTTGATTTGGCTCTTGTCCCTGCCATGTTCATTCTGACCACTGTTTCTGAATGCACAGGCAATCTACAATGTGGCCACACACACTTTATCATACAAGGAAACCAAATGCTGGTTAAGGGTTACTTGGTGGAGCATAGCTCTTTGCTTCTGCTTTCTAAATCTGGTGGTAGAAAGATTCTTCAAGTGGAAAGGAAGAAGAGACTTAGGAATTTAGGGAAATGTATACACTGCCATACATTTTTCTACCTTCCAATGGCTTCCCAGTCAAAACTTCTACAAGAAGGCATAGCTAGCTGTCAGGAGCACATACTACATTAAACCCTTCTAGTTTCTCCTCTTCACGAATTCCATGTTTAAGCCAGCTCTCCAAACTTAGCACTCCATCTTTTTTGAAGTTTTGGAAGGACAGGGAACATCCTCTTTCTTAGTATACTCAGTGCCTAATATAGTGATTTTCTCATGAGAGGTTCTTGATAAATGCTGAATTGAACTGAATTCCTGAATCTAGAGATTCCACGACACCAACATAGGGTCTCACGACCACACAACGGATGGCAATTAGGAGCCCAAAGGCCTCACAATAACAGCACTATAAAGTCCCACTGGACCCTGCATAAATAGCTTTTAAGACACCTTGGCCCAAGAACTCCAATATCATAGCCCTACGAACCCAACATCAACCTTTGTTGTTGTCATTCAGTCATTTCAGTCACGTCTGACTCTCTGTGACCCCATTAGGGTTTTCTTGGCAAAGATACTGCAGTGGTTTGGCATTTTCTTCTGCAGTTCATTCATTTTACAGATGAGGAAACTGAGGCAAACAGGGTTAAGTGATTTGCCCAGGGTCACACAACTAGGAAGCATTTGAGGCCAGATATGAACTCAGGCAGATGAGTCCTCCGGACTGCAGGCCTGGTGCTCTATCTACTACATCACCTAGCTACCCTAATATGAATCTAGAGCCTAGCAATTATGTTTATTTGAGCCCAGGGAAGTCATAATAACTCCCGCCCCCATTCCATCTTGGTCCTGAGATTGCACAATACTCCCCCAATGAACCCAGTCAGGGCCAGAGACCCTACAGTGGTAGTCTTTGGCTCTCAGCCAGTCAGAGTAAGAAGTTCCTTCCCCCTCCTTTTCTCCAACCGTGGTATTTGGGGTCCAGGCTTCTCATTCTCCCACCATTCTTATTGACCTAATTTAACAAGGCAACTAAGGCTGGGAATAGACTGTTATGAATGGTTCCAGAATCAAGGGTGGTTCTTCGAAGCTCAGGCTACTCTCTTTCCCAAAGAGTTAGATTGGGGAAGAGAAGGGGCACATGGGTAGCTCCTGGACTGCTGTCTAGTCCTATGATCATATAATAAATAACTCGATCCAGTACAGAAATCTGGGAATATGTTTTTCAGAGCCCCTAAGAATTCTAGATTTCCTCCCCTGCCCCCTATCCCAAACTTGAACTCTGCCCCAACTCTGGTTAATGAGTTACCCATCTGCTTATCCACCCACCAAGGAGCCACTGACCCTAACTGTGTTCCCCCCAGTTAATTGGTCATCTGCCAACTAAGAGGTGGGCAAACTGGGTTTTTGGTTCCATTGATTGCCCTGGGGCTCCCTTACTTTGAGACTGGAGCCTAGGAGACAGGCAGAATGCTTCAAACCAGCCAAGTACTACTATCTCGGGTTACCTCCCCTTTGCAGGGCTCAGGAGCCCAGAGGCCAATTTTGCGGTTTGATGGAGAAGCTTTCCGTCTCAAAAGGACAGGGGAACTAATACGGGCCTTGTTAGTGCTTCGGCTCTGTGCATGGCCCCCACTGGTCAATTATGGTCTAACGGTGAGTGTCCTCTGGTCCTGACCTCCAAGGGAAGAATTCTCTACTGTATTCCCAATTCCAATGCTAAGATAATTCTACAGTATTTCCAATTGTAATTCTGTTTTTCCTTCTTCCTATCACCTAGCTTCTGTCTTGGTCCCGGAGGCTCCTGGGCTCCCGGCTATCTGGGGCACTACTTCGGGCTTCAGTGTATGGGCAGTTTGTGGCTGGGGAGACAACGGCTGAGGTGCAAGGCTCTGTCCAGAGGCTTCAAGGACTTGGGCTGCGGCCACTGCTGGCTGTGCCCACTGAGGAAGAGCCAGGGACAGATCGGGGAGGGTGAGAACATGGTTCAGGGGAGGGTGAAATGTAAGATGGGGCTGGGCAGTGAAAGGAAGGTGGTGGGGATAAAAAAGGAGCATTGGGGCTGAGGAGCCTGAAAGAAAAGGACCAGCAGGACCCTGACAAATCAGGTTTTCTTTCTGGTCTGCAGGGAAGCCTGGTATGAGGGAAACCTGAATGCTATGCTGCGTTGTGTGGACCTGTCCTGTGGGCCCCCAGGATCCCTACCACCCCAGCCAGCCGTCATGCAGCTCAAAGTGACAGCACTGACCAGTGCCCTACTCTGTGTAAGAGACCTAAGATGGAGAAGAATTTGGGGGGTTAGGCCTAAAGCTGAATTCTTGAACTGTGCACCCCTTATCCCTTTTGCTCTTTTCAGAAAGAACTGACGCTCCGACTCAGGGAGCCTGGGACTTCCAAAGAGCTAAGTCCTGAAAGGTTTGCTTCCACCATGGAAAGTGGTAAGGTGAGCATCTCCAACCACCTATTACCCCAAAGTTTTCATGAACGTGTCCCTGAAGCACCTGAGCCTGAGCTCTGCTCTCCCTCAGGACCTATGGATTTCCAGTCTCAGCCCTGAGCAGAATCAGCATCTCAAAGCCTCGCTGAGCCGTTTCCATCGCATTGCTCAGGTAAACCCAAAACTCAGCCCCAATTCTTCCAAAGGTCTGAACTCTTACCCTTGCCCTCATTTTACACGAAGCCCTCATCTCTCTTATTCCTTTCCACAGTCAGAGGCAAGTGACCTCATCTCTTCTGTCCTCCTCCACAGTATGCTCGGAGCCAGGGTGTGCGGCTGCTAGTGGATGCCGAGTACACCTCTCTGAACCCAGCACTGACCCTGTTTGTGTCTTCCCTGGCTGTCCGCTGGAACTGCCGGGAGGAAGCTGATGAGGATGGGGCTCCCTGGGTGTGGAACACCTACCAGGCCTATCTCAAGGTAACAGGAAGCCTGGGGAAAGGGAGCTCAAAAGCACCTGAGCCTCTTACATCCCCTGCCTTCTCCACCACCTCAGGATACATATGAGCGACTGAATCAGGCAGCAGAGGCAGCAGAGCAGAAAGGTCTGGGTTTTGGGGTAAAGCTGGTTCGTGGTGCGTATCTGGATTCAGAGAGGGCATTTGCTCAGCATAGCAAGACAGCAGATCCTACCCAGCCCAACTATGAGGCCACAAGCCGAAGGTAGGCAAAAGGGGAACTCCCACAGAGGGAATGAGGGTAGAGGCCTAGACTAGGTTTACCATGGGCCATGGACTCTGATGCCTTTCTTCCCATTCACCCCTTTTCCCAGTTACAGCCGTTGCCTGGAGCTGATGCTGGGACATGTTTGCCGCCGGGGCTCACGGTGTCAGCTTATGGTAGCTTCCCACAATGAAGAGTCAGTGCACCAGGCCGTTAAGCGGTAAGGTGGGGGCCAGAAGAGAGTGGGGAGCCGGGGGAGTGTCCCTAAGGAGGCAGGGAAGGACAAAAAGAGTAGGACCAAAGATGAGAAACTTAAGAGATTCAGAAACCATCAGAGCTGAGGAGGTACTTTAGAGGTAACCATTTCAATCCCCTTATTTCAAAGACATTCAGATTCCTATGAGGCCATAACACATCCTAAAGATTAGGCAGAATCCTGGTTTCCTCTCAGGGCCAAGGCTCTTTCCATCATACCAAGAGAGAGATTTAGGGTTTGAGGACAAGGAAATGGGCAGATACACCAAGATATTTGGTGTAGTGGAAGGGGTGCTGGACTGACAGAGTCAGGACTGAGCTAGTTTCAGATTCTATCTTAGACACTACTGGACTTATGAAATCATGATAAGGTCGCTGAACCTCTCTGATCCTCAGTTTCCTCATCTGTAAAATGGGGTAATATCTGCTGTACCTACCTCAAAAGGTTGTTGTAAGGAGCAAATGAGATAAAGTGCTATGTAAATTTGGTTCTCTTGTTTATTATTAACTTTACATTGTACTTTTTGTAACTAGAAGTCTTATTCAGTTCAACGAAAATTATTAGTACCTATTTAGTGCGAGGCTCTGTGCTAGGCATTGGAGATTCAAAGATAAGAATGAACAGTGTCTGCCTTCAAGAAGCATATGCTCTACTCAGGGGAGATAAAACGTGTTCACAGATAAGTAAATATAAAGCAATACAATTTCAAGAGGGAAGAGAGAACCAAGAAGGGAGAGGAACAAGAAAGGCTTGGTACCAACGAGGCAGTCTAGGAAGGGAATGCATTCTAGGCATGGGGGATCAGCCCACTCATGCAAAGGCATGGAGGAGAAGACATGACATCATCTCTGGGCAAGGAGCATGTAGATGCACTTAAGTAGACTAGAGAATAGGAGTAATAGGAAATAAGACTCGTGGGGTTGGTGGGAACCAGATTGTGGAGGGCTTTCCATGGCAGGCTGAGGGTTCCTAGTCCCCTCTCTGAGGCAACCACATAATATCATGCATTATAGCTCTCTGGGAAGTCTCTACTAGACTGGGAAGTCCAGGGACGGCAAAAGTGAGGTCTAACCTAACCCACTAATCCAATGCTGAGCACAGAGCTCCACACATAGTAGGCACTCAAGTGTCTATTGCAGGGCATTAACCTTGATCTCAAATGCCACAGGATGTCAGAGTTGGGCATTCCTCCGGATGGTGCTGTTTGCTTTGGACAGTTGCTGGGCATGTGTGACCATGTCTCCCTTGCCCTGGGTATGTGTTTCCATCACAGAACAACCTGTTTTCAATCCCTCTATCATGGGCAAAATTTTCATGGTTAGGATGGGACAGCCTTGTCCCTCTTCCCTTCTTTGTCCATAACTTGAATCCTTCCTAACCCCCAAGCCTACCTCTAGCCCACAATATTGAGTCAAGGTCTGGGCCTGGGCAGGAGGAATAATAACGCAGGAGAAAGTCCTGCCCCTGCCCTGATATTTCCTCTCACCCAGGGCAGGCTGGTTATGCCATCTACAAGTCTATCCCCTATGGCTCTCTGGACGAGGTGATTCCCTATCTGCTTCGTCGGGCCCAGGAGAACCGAAGTGTGCTTCAAGGGGCCAGGAGAGAGCAGGGGCTGCTGAGCCAGGAACTTCTTCGGCGTTTGTCTCGCCGTCCTTAAGACATCACCTCATTTCTGGCCTTCCCTCTCTTCACCCCATCTGACATTAAAGTCTCTAAGAGAAAATCACATCTAACTACCTGTTGCTGTCTGGAGCTGGGGCCAGGAAATGCAGTTTCCTGTTAGTAGTCTCTTTGACCACTGGGCAAGCAACATCATGTTTCTGGGCCTCAGTTCCTTCATCCACAACACGAGGGGATTGGATGAGATCATCCATAAGGGTATCAGTCTGAGCCACTTTGCAGGATCCCTGAACTGGAGGTGAAGGTACCTAGGTCTCTAACAGAGTAAGGGCTGAAGGGCGAAGTCCCTTCTGAGAACATAGGGACCCACTCTCTAAGCCACTTAGCAGGGTCTCTGAAATGGGAGTAGAGGCTGAGAAGGTGCCTTGGTTTCTGAGACCTGTTAGGTATCTAGGGAGGGCAGGGGTTCCAGGCTGAGGGAAGGTTGTTTTGGACTTTAAGCTCCTCTTTGAGGCCTTTGACTACAGAGCAGGCAGAGGTGAGACTCTTTTGGCCTTTGAATTCCTCTATGGGGTGTCTGGGGATTGGGCGTTCTAAGAAAAAGGCATCTAGAGTTCTACTTTGGGGTCTCTAGCTGAGGAGAGCCTGAAGGGAAGAGTGGCTACATCTCTGAGTCCCTTTGAGGGGTCTTTAACTGGGGAACAATGAATAAGAGGATATCTTGGTCTCAGAGCCCATGGGTTCTCTGAACTGGGGACAGGGAATGAGGGGAATATTTCCATCTCTGAGCCCCTCTCTAGGGGGTTTCTGATCTCTGACCTCTGTCAGAATTGACTAGGAGAGGGAACTAACTGCAAGGTGTCTTGGTCTCTGCTATCCTTAAGAACTGTCTGACTGGAGGGAGGCCAAGGGGAGGGCCCTTTGTGAAGTTTGGGGAAAGGCTAAGGGATCACTCCACGGGGTCCCTCTGTTGGGTCTTTGACTGGAGCAGACCTTTCAGTCTCCGAAATCTTTGATTGGGGAGAAGCTAAAGGGAATCCCAAGGAGTCTCTGGGCAGAAGAAGCTGAGGAATGGGTACCTCTACTGTAGTCCCTGATGGGGGAGGGGTACCCCTCTGTGGGGGAAGCTGAGGTGGCTGGTATCCCTTGGTCTGTGGGCTCTCTAACTGGAGGGAAGGCCCCTCTCTGGGGTAGATTTAGGAGGGTCCTTCAGACTGTGGGGCTGAAGAAGAAGATAAGGGGGATCCCTCCATCCATGAGGTCTCAGTGGGAAACAAAAAAGGCACCCTGTGGAGTGTTTGAGGTGAGGGAGGAGGCTGAGGAGGTAGAATCCCTTGAGCTATGGAGTTTCTGAGGAAGCTAAGGGGGGATCACTAAAGGGAGGGGAGCTCCAGTCTACGGAGTTTTGTAGGGGGTGTCTTTTGGTTTACAAGGTCTATGAAGGGAGTACCTCAGTTTCTGGGGCCTCTGGGAGGGTAGAAAGGGTTCCTTGGTCTATGGAGTCTTGGGGGGGGTGAGGAGAATCCCTCAGATTGTGGAGTCTCTAGGGAATTGGGGGTCCATAGTCTAGATGATCTGAGAGATCCTTTAGCCTCTAGTAGGGTTTGTGAGGTCTGTGTCAAGGGTCTCTTGGTCTGTAAAATTTTGAGGGAGATGGGTTCCTTAGTGTGAGGTCTGGGGAGGTGCAAAGGTCTCTGGGGGTGGTGGTGGTGTGAAGAGGATCCCTTAGTTTCTAGGGTGGGTAAGGAGGGGTTCCTAAGTCTGTAGTGTCTGTTAAGGGAGTCCCTTGGTCTCTGGAGAGGGTTTGAAGTATCCCTCAGCTTGTGGGGTTTGAGGAAGGTCTCTCAGTCTGTGAGGTCTGAGAAGGGGTCTCTGCTTGGGATGAGGTGGGAGGGGTCCCTATCTATGAAGAGTCCTTGTTTTCTGCAGATTTGAAGAGGGTTTCTTGGTCTCTAGTGTGGGATGAAGGACGGTTCCCAACCCTGTGGGGTTTGGTGAGGAGATGCCCTGTCTATGGAGTTTGGGGCGTTCTTCAGTCTGTGGGATGTGTGAGGAAGGGTACCTGTCTCAGGGATGAGGTGAGGGGGTCCCACAGTATGTAAAGTGACATGAGGGGAGTCCCTTGGTCCGTGAAGATCAGTCTTTAGGGTTGAGCAAGGTCCCTTGATCTATGGGGGTTTTCAGTCTTTGGGGTGGGGTGAGGAGGGTTGGGGTGAAAGGAAGTCTGAGGCTGTGGGGTAAGATGAAGAGAATTCTTCAGTCTGTGAGGTGGAGTGAGAAGGGGTTCTTTAGTCTGCCAGGACTGCCCCTCAATTCCTAGGGTGGAGTGAGGGGAGTCTTTTGGTCTGTGGGGTGAGGAGGGGTCCCTCAGTCTGTGAGGCAGGAGGTAGGTGGTATTTCAGTCTCTGAGGTAAGGGGAGAGGGTCCCTCATTCTGTGGAGGTCAGGAGGTGGGGTAAGGAAGAACTCACAAGTCCAGGAAGTCTGTGGAGGACTCCCTCAGCCTATGTGTGGGTGTGTGAGGAATGTCCCTTAGTCTCCGGAGTGACGGGAGTCCCTCGGCTGTGGTGTGGGGGAGGGAGTCATCTCTTGGTCTCTAGGTTGAGGCGAGAGGTGTCCCTTAGTCCGAAGGCGGCAGTGAAAAGAGCCCCTCAGTCTTTGGGGGAAGGGGAAGGAAGGGGACCTTCAGTTTCTAGTGGGGATAAGGGGAGGCCATTAAGCCTCTCATTCTGGGAGGTGGGATGAGGGGAGCTTATGGGGTGTCCTTCAGTTTCTAGGGTAAGGGAGGGTCCCTCATTTTTTCAGATGGAGGGGGGTCCCTCAGTCTCTGGGAAAGTCCCTCAGTCGATAGAATCTGTGGGAGAACATCATTCTGTGTTCTAGGGAAGTCCCTTAGTCTCTGGGGAGGTAAAAGAAGTACTTTAGTTCGAAGGAGAGCCCTTAGTCTCTGGGGGGAGTGGGGTTTCTTTCAGTCTCTAGGGGGATGATGAGAGAGCCCTTAGTCTCTGGGGTGGGGATCCTTTAGTCTCTAGGGGAAATGAGGTGGGTACCTCAGCCTATTAGGAAGGTGAGGGGATGGATCCCTTAGCCTCTAGGGAGGGGTAAGAGGGGTCCCTCAGCATCATGGGATGAGGGGAATCCTTAAGTCTTTGGTGTGGTGGGGGAGGTCCCTCAGTCTTGAGGGGGATCCTTCAGTCTCTGGGGGAAGAGGGGGAATCCCTCAGTCTTTAAGAGGGTGAAGGAGGTCCCTCAGCCTTTGGGAGTATGGAGGTGTGTCCCTCAGTCTCTATGAGGGGCGAGGGAACCTCTCAGGCTCTGAGAGGTGAGGGGGAGGTCCCTTAGTCTCTGGGGAGGTGAGAGGGTCCTTCAGTTTCTAGGAGGTTAAGGGAGGTGCTTCAGCCTTTGGAAGGGTGAGGGGGGTCCCTGTCTCTAGGGGGCAAGGGAGGTCTTTCAGTCTCTAAAAGGAGTGAGGAGGGGTCCTCTTCAGTCTTTGAGGGAGTGAGGGAGGTCTCTCAGTTTCTAAAGAGGGAGAGGGGGGTCTTTCCAGAGACCTAAAAGGGGGGGGTTAGGGGAGTCCCTCCAATCTCTGAAGGGTGAAGGAAGTCTCTAAGAGGGGGGATGAGGGGGGTGCTTCTAGTCTCTGAGGGGGGAAGGAAGTCTCTAAG